GACCCCCCCCCCAAAAAGGCTAGGGTCGGCAGGTTTTTTTCTAGGGTCAGTCGGGAAACAGGAAACACAACATACATTTTTTCCCTAGGCCTTACAGTCCAATTTTGCTTCAGAATTCAGAGAACTAATGTCGTAAAAGAAATAGTACAGGTTTTGCAGAATTTCCCAGCATCAACAGTAAATGATGAAATGGATTTCTGTAGAGCTTGTATTTCAAAGACCCGGCATGATTATAGATTTGCCATGCAGTGTGTAGGGAGAGGCATGGAATCAGGTATTCCCTTTGAGTCTTAACTTTCCCATTTACGCTGCATATAGGGCAGGGCCTGACATCATCCGTCATTTTGCAGTAGGCAGACTAACTGTCTCCAACTCTCCGTTCTGAGGATTTCTAACCAACATCAGGCAATACTAACATCATTCTACATGTCACATCCTCGCAAACAGAAATTGTTAGGGCTGGAAGGGGGCCCGCATGCCCTTTTCCGTAGAGCGTAATTGGCCGTTTTAATTCTACATAGAGCGTAGACGGACCGCTCTAATTCAACATAGAGCGTAATTGGCACATTTTGCGTAGAGCGTATTCGCCATTTTGATTCTACGTAATGCATTGTAGCCACTTGGAATTCATTGTAAAGCGTAATCAAGAGGTTTCCGAATTCAGCGTAGAGCATTGTAGGAACCCCCCATGTAGGCCCTCCTGGAAGTATTCTTTTTCGCATATATCTGCTTCATTTTTGTTCAAATAAAAATATGTACCAGAGAGTACCATTCATGAATTGAATCAACCATTAAAAAAAACATATTTTGCCACCAACAGTTGACGAAAGTCCTTGTTTCATATTAGACCAAGACCAAAGAGAAAGCGAAAATTCAAATGTTGACTAGTGAGGTATGTTTTGTGGCTTTGTGGCACCTGACGGTAATATTTGCATTTATCACAAAATGCCTGACTGCTCCTTTTTTTTGCCTCTCCCACCTACTTGCTCAATGGCTTAATTCTTTTGAAAAGAACCAGGAAGCTGAATTGGTATGGCCTGATGAATATACACGAGAAGGCTGATTTCAGTGAAGCCCAGTCTTTTGTTCAAGCCAAAACTCATTCCTCCTGAGCCCTGGTACTGAGGAAAAATCAATACACTATGATATGGCATGCCTTTAAAATACTTGATGAATTTTCATTGCTGTGTTAGTAATTGGCAGAGATGATTTTGTCAGAAAAGATTTAGAAGAGGCCACAGTACTAGTTTTACCCTGACTGGAACCATGGTCTTGGCCTTGGGGAAAAATTTCTCAGTAGAGATTCGAAATCCAACACATGTTGACATTCCAATTCTGTAAGAATGATTTTGAAATTCCAAGAACCAACATACATATTTGTACCTGAGACTTACATGTAAGAAGAATTTCCCTACTGAGCATGCCCAGACCCTCCCCTGTGTGACTTCCCAGGTCTGCACATGCTCAGTACAGATTTGAATCTAACATACATTTAATTTATATTCGCATTGATTCCAATTCGAAATTCAGCATAATATTTTGAAATTCCAAGAAACAAAAAACGTATTTGTAGGAGCCTTAGAAAGAATTTCCCTACTGAGCATGCCCAGACCCTCCCCTGTGTAGCAGTTTGAATCTACATGCTCAGTAGCAGTTTGAATCTAACATAATGATTACATTTTTATGTTGACATTCCAATTCAGCAGAATGTTTCATTTTTCAAAAATTCCAAGAACCAACAATCCATTTGTCATGGCCTTGGGAAGAATTTTCGTACTGAGCATGCCCAGACCCTCCCCTGTGTGACTGCCCAGGTCTGCACATGCTCAGTAGCAGTTTGAATCCAACATGGCGGGTTGTGCTTGATGGGGAGCGCGATCACCAGAATGGTTTGCAGTCGGCTCGGGATCGGAAACTACCGTGGGTACTCCAAGTTTGCCGACAGCGCCTCCGCTGGTAAATAACGCAGGGGGGAGGGCCGGGGTTTGACTGGTAAATGCTCGGTTACTCTCGAGCGGGCGGTGGGAAATATTCATGTCTTGGTGTGAGACATTCCCTCACTGATATGGTCTGGAGAGGGTTAAGAAACGAGCGTGTGAGATTATCCAACACTTCTGTCAGCGGTAAACAAAATGTCGGCTTTGCTGTTTTCTTGTGTCAAGCTCTAGAGATAGTGTTAAAAAAAATTGGGGGCAAAATTTCTGATCTTTGCAGTCAATACGTGACCTTAGAGCTGTAAAGAATTTGTGTCATCTTAATCTATTTGGATGGATGTTAATATTACGTAGAGCAGTGTTGAAAATGCCAGGACTGGTATTAATTCCTGTCAGGAAGAAGATAATTTTGTTAAAAAACAGGGACATGTTTCTGATCATTGCAATTAATTTCATTTACTCTGGACATGGGAGTTTGTATGAAAAATTTGTGTCGTATTAATCAATTAGGATGGATTTGTAAATTACTGAGGATTGGTAACAAAATGCTAGCCTTGCCATTTCTTTATGTTAAGCTCAAAATAATGTTTTAAAACTGGGCAAATTTCTTATCTTTGCAGGCAATTCATAACCCAAGATTTATAAAAAAATCTATTGGAATGGATGTGAAAATTACTGATTAATTAAGCTAGCATTTCTATTGCTTCATGTCAATCTCAAAAGTGTTTTAAAAATCTTGGGCAAATTTATGATGTTTGCCGTAAATTCATGACCCAATATGTATGAATAATTTTTGTCATCTTAATCTATTGGGTTGGGTGTGAAAATTACTAAGGATGGTTAAGAAAATGCCAGATATTGCTTCATATTCAGCTCAAATATTGTTAAAAAAAACTGGAACATATTTCTGATCCTTGCATGATCCTCACGTGAGAGTTATGAAGCATTCATGTCATCTTAATGTGTTTGGATGGATGGTCAAACATACAATGTTAACTGCCCCCACCCTGGATATTATGTAGGGGTATGTCTTCCTGCTTGGCTGGTAGCTAACAGCTGTTGGCATGAGTCAGATGATTGTGATATGATATTTGATGACAATCTAACCTTTACTCCCATATGAGGACATTTTAAGACATCTTTTAGGTCTATACATTGATATTCATTATTATATATTTATTTGTAAACTCATGCCTAAAGGCTCGTACCTAGTAACACACTGAACAAAACAGGTAAAAAATTGTTCTAAAATCTATTTAAAATTTTGATGTTTCTGGCTACATTTAGTAATTACTGTCAGAGATATTTGATTTCTTTTTTTAAGACAGTGGCTTAAATGAATAGTTCCACGTTTTTAATTTGGGTTTTGTGATATCTGCAAAGATATAGATAACAATGTACAATTTCTTGACTGTATGTTTGCTTCAGTTAATTAGTTTTATACAGAATCCTATAATTATAAGACAAGGCATGTTTTTCACATTCAACTGGATTGTGAGAATTCTGCAAAAATCTGAATGCTGTGTTTTTGAGAAAATTATGTGTGTTTTTGTGTTGTTGACGATGTCAGTTTTAAGAAGATGTCTTGGTGTTTGTGCTTTCCCTTGTATGTTTAGTAACCAGTTCTCAAGTCTCTGTTATGTTTGTAAAAAGGGTCTTAGTAAACCTGATCATCGAACACTAAAAACACGTCATTTTGATGTGGTTGTATAGTGTACAATCCATTATAAAATGGTGCTCATTTTCAATCATGTTTCGACAAAATGGACAGAACCGTTGGTCATTTGGTATTTTCTTGTATCGACCCATTTCTATGTTTAATTTATGACAACTAATTCTTAATTTTGTGATCGCTTTTCGGATATGTAGATTGTGTATACTTGTATATTATACTGTATAGGTGTCTCACATCAGCCTGACCGGTCGCAAATATTGATGAATGACATCAAAGCTGTATTCAGGACTTGCTTGCAGATTCTAGCCACGTGCAGGAGAAATCCCTGCAAGGGCATCAGATGGTTCTGTCTCCATCTCTGACATGGACATCGTTAAACACTGCGGCAGGAACCCAATAGATCTTATTTTATAGTCTCGACATAAAATTATAAAAAAGAAGCAAGAAAGAGGCAAAATTAAGTCCACATACATGATTGTGTACATATTGGAGTACATATTTATAAGTACGTACAATGTACTAGTGCTAGTACTACTATCCTGATTTGTCTTTTTTTTTTTTTACCCTAGTGTACACGTACGAATGAATGAATGAATGAACGAACGAATGAAACTGTGTCATCATTCTCCCTATAAAGAATGCAAAACCCATCCTAATGGTTTTCAAAAATTTGTTTTTTCTAATGTTTCTAATAAGCACAAATTTCTTCCTTCGGGCTTAGGCAATGATCTCTATTAATTTTGTATTTGAGAAATTAGGCAAACTGCTGGAGCTTTTATCCCCATTCATTCATTCTTTCTTTCATTCATTCCTCCTTATTGTTCCTAACTGACATGTTTCTCCTTCTGTTGTTTCTCTTCTGCAGTGTTTCCAAACGTTCCAGAGAGACCAGGACTTCCCTGTGTAGGAGAGGACAGTAAGTCAACCTGTGTTGCTTTCTTTTTTCACGTTTATTGCTTATTCGTAACATTGTACACATGATACGAAATAAAATAGAAACATTGTAGACTCTCACACTGATCCAAAACATGAGTGATTCTTACCATTTTCAAGGCTACATGTACCCACCCAGCACGTCGGCAGAACGTACTGCACCTGCGCGAAACCCGTAATGTATTGTACATAGCATTTCAGCAGAATGTCTCATATAAGGTTGTATTCGCTTATATAAGGTTAGCATTTCGACAGTAGTTTCCAAATGTTATGTAAGAAAGAATATCCTCTGCAACAGGCAATATTCTGATGCAACGTTGACCAAAAATCCAACGAAAAAAATGCAAAAATACGGGGTTCTGCGCAGGCGCAGTACGTTCTGCTACATGTACCCACTCTTATACTTATTCACCTTAGCACATACATGTACATTAAGTACATATTAACATTACAACATTATTGTTTCTGCTACATTGATTTTTCAATTGTAGCTGCAGGGAGACTCAGTCTAACAATCATAATGCTGAACTGGAGCACCTAAATGTATTCCCAAAAGTACATTTTGATTCTTGATACGGCATTACCTAAAGAAACTCAAAGCAGTTTCTGGGCATTAAAACTGGATTTTCAAAGTCAATTTTCTGGTCATATTTTCGATATAACAGAAGGTAGTTGAATCCATTCTATTCCATGGCAAATATTACTGATATATGTGAGGCAAAAATGAAATGTTGTTGATGGCAAATGGTTGCTTGTTCCATCCCATAGTCCGGTTCTAATTATATGCATTTATGGGTACCAACAAAAGATGGGACTCGTAGCCTCATGTAGCTTGTTTTTAATTTTAGCCCGTTTTTCAAACGCCTGTATAGCCTGGGTGCCAATCCCACAGCACACTGGACACAAAGTATGCTCACTGAGATATTTTGTGGCCAGTGTGCTATGGGGCTGGCACCCAGGCTATGGCAGTAGGAATAGCAGTAAATGTCAATATCATACCAATTCCTACATCCAGAATATTTTTTGTTTTACCATCCCGAAATTGTATCAGAAAAGAAGTGCCTTTAAACCATCTTTACAGCTCATTTAAAACATGGTTATGAGCACTCCATAGTCGGACGATTCTTATATTGGCTGACTTGTTACTATCATGACCTCTGTCATTAAGGTACACGGCACTACCATCATCTTTATGGTCTATTTTAAATTCAGATGTGGCCGTAAAATTAGTGATGCAGTTCACACCTATCCATTTCCTCGTTTCTCCAATATTTTGAATCGGTGTGGCTGAAATGAGGGACTGATGAGATGCGCTGTGTATTGATAGCTGCGTACCCCTTTTAGATAGGGATTTTCTTATATATACACACAACCAGGGATTTTTCCTACCATGTTTAAGTTTCAATATAATCAGACACCTTCCTCAGAGCTTCCTTAAATCCTTAAGTGTCCTGATTCTACCAACACTGATGAAATTCTTTTCGGAAGTTTGCACTCAATCATTTTCACATTTTGTACCTTTGTCGTGTTTGTGTGTATGGACGATTTCCCGCCCCGCATGAGGTAAATTTGTACTCCTCCTACTAGCCTGTACTGTTTCTGCCACCTGCATACTAGTATATGATATGATTATGAATGCTCCTTCATTTCACAACTCTAACTAGTCGGCAAACCCGACAATTGCATGTTAATAACTGGCAAGAAATGGGACAATAACTGGATAGTTTACTGGTTAGAAACGGGAAAGTAACTGGTGAGAAATGCGATGGTAATGATAACTATAACGATGATGGTACTGTTAGTGTAGCGTGAACTGCAAGCTCTGGCCTGTGAAAAGTAATGATGACTCCCCTTATGTGCTGTAATTTGGAAAAATCAATGCTGCAGAAACAATGTATAACATGTACAGGCTGGCTTACAGTCCATATGAAAAAGGAGGGCTGGGGGAAAAGCCACATCCCCATACTACAGGGCGCCAAATTCTTTTGGGCAGGACCTGAACTAAAAATTCTGGTGCACAGAAAAATTTTGTCTCTTACTATATATTCGGCAGGGTTTTTTCTAAACAAGGGACTAAGGCTAGGGAGCTGCTCCCTCATGTAACCAGCCAGCTCCCTCACACCAATTTTCATATTGAACCCTAAGTGGCTACTTTTATTAAAAAATCCCCCCTTGGTCGCTTTGTTCCTTGTCATACTTGCAATCTGCTCCCTCATGCTAAATTTTTCTAGAAAAACCCCTGTTAGGCCACACTGACTTAATTTTATGGATGACATCCACACACGCATTGATTTTTGCCTGTTCTCAAAAAAAGATCATGTCCTTCGAGGCTCTGGGTAGGTGGCGACAATACAGAGCCGGCGGTAAGGACGATAGTACCCAGACTCATGCATATCAAGCTCCATGACTCAGTACTTACGTGCAGTGTTGATACATAAATTCCAAAAAGCTGGCATGTGCCGGCTTGTAGTATACGTCGCTATGTACTACTGCAAATTCACAATACCAACTTTGTATTCCTGTGGTTTAGTAACATTTTTAGTTTGGGCCAGAATTTTTTTACAAACCTTATAACCTTGACAAGTATTTACTGGAATGACACTCTGTCTGTTAGGTTATTCTCTTACTGTTTCTCCAGTGGGAAATTTTAGTCTGATTTTGAATTTATCATGCCAGACCGCACAGAAATCAGTCTCCAATTATAACCAATAATTAGTTTAACACACAAAGGAATGCAGACTCATAATGTGATATGTCAAGTGCATACAAAGTATATTTTATGAAGATGTCAACATTACTAAATAGTATATCAGTACACAAAAGTAAGTGCTTATCACTGCATTTAGATTTTGATCAGACCCCAGTTTTTTTCAGAAAAGTGACCAAAGGAATGTGACTGAAATAGTGTTTTTTAAAAGTCTTCATAATGTCATCTACTGATTGAAATAGATGAACTTGTATTCAAATTAAGTATTCTTGTTAAGAAATCTATCAAACAGATGTTTATGCCATCTTTTTTCAAAGAAATTCTTGTCCCTGATGTAAATATAAGTCAGTTAGAATGATGTATTGGTAAGTTAAAGGTTATCGTGTTACTATCAGGCTGACGAATATTTTTTCCCGTTGACAGAATCGATCTACCGGCGCGGGGCCAGAAGATGGCGGAAGCTTTACCGTGTCAACGGGCACGTGTTCCAGGCCAAACGCTTTAGCAGGGTGAGTCAAAAGCAAAAGTAGAGCTTTTCTTCCTAGTTGTTAAAGTTTTCAATGTAACAATGCAACTTTGTTTCATTAAAAGTTCAAAATCTCATATCGTAACATTTCTGGCCTTCATTGGGTGCCTTGGCCCGTTTTTTTTTTTTCGCCCTGTCGCTTCATAGTTTTTCTGAAAAAATCAGAGAAACAACAAATTAAATTGGTATGGCCTTAATATATATCTTCCCCTGTTGTATTTCAGAGAGCGTTCTGTGCCTACTGTGCAGACAGAATATGGGGCCTGGGGAGACAGGGGTACAAGTGCATCTCCTGCAAACTCCTGGTGCATAAGAAGTGCCACAAACTGGTCAAACTAGCCTGCGGAGGGCCCATGGTAAGTCAAGTCTCTCGCAGACCAATAGTTTCCGTATACTGTTATCATATCCAACTCCTACATGTATGTAAGGCCCTTGGTAAGTCAGCCATCGTATCCCTTAATGATGTTAATCACAGCAATTCTCAAAGATGCGTAAAGAAATACATGTAGTCTTGCCCAAAAGGCATCAAAATACTAAAAGGAAGAAGTTTCCCAAATTTTCGTGTTAGCTTCCAGGTTTTGCACATGGTAAAGTTAGTCACGCATCGCACATTTTCCATGATACTGTTGAGTGTTATCATGATGATTGTCCAACTCCTATATCCGCCTGCATGGTCTTCATTCCAAATGCAAGACCATGTTGTACTACATGCGTCAAACCATCCTGTATAATTCTAACATCATGTTCAATCTGTAACCCTCATTAATCAAACTACATGTACTTTCATCCAGAAGTCATTGCATGATGCAGAGGTTTAAGTTGGATGATTTTGAATGACACCATTTGATAGAGAGTTTGTCTAAAAGTCTATGTATGACCAGTCCTCTGGTACACATATTCTTCACCAACTCTCTACCAAATGTTGTTCAAATTCCACCTCAGCATCCTACCATACCATAATTTATATGTGTGCTCAGTAACAGAGGTTGTTATGGGGGTTTTAACCTGACTTTCCACACACCACAGTCAATATGTTTTGTTTGTGTTGACTAAAAGGACATGTGCCCTGAATCCCCCTCTCAGGTCTCTAACCGCACCCCTGACTCACTAGCGATGGTCAATACCCTGTCCCACGTAAGTCCCAACCCCCCACTTGTCTTCAGTGTAGCAGGGCTCTCGTAGGTGCTGTGGCATGATCTAGCTCCTAGCATGCAGCAAAAATACCCCTGCTACAACTGTAGCAAACAGTGTAGCAGAGCTAGGCACTGTGGCATGATCTACATTGTAGTTCCTAGCATGCAACAAAAATACTCCTGCTACAACTGTAGCAAAGCAGAGCTAGGCACTGTGGCATGATGTAGCGTCTGGCAATATGTAGCAAAAGGAGTGTTGCTATAACTGTAGCTAGCAGTGTAGCGGAGTTTATGTGCTGTGGCATGATCTAGCCACTAGCACGTAGCAAAAGTACCCCTGCTACAACTGTAGCAAACAGTTTTGCAAAGCTAGGAGCTGTGGCATGATGTAACAGCTAGCAACATTTAGCAGAGGTTGCCTTACTACAGTTGTTACAGCTGGGCTACATGTATTCACTGTGGCTTGATGCACCAGCCAGCTACATGTTGCAAATGTAGCTAAAAGCTGGCACATACATTTATCACAGTCATACTTCATTGAACATAAAAAGCAAGGTACTGTGCATGTTATAGCAGCGAGCATGTATCAGAGATGGACAAGCTACATTTATATAACTGTTACAAGTAGCTTCATGGAGCTGAGTCAGGCACCGTGTCAACAGAAATGGGCACATGGCTATGCATGGAGCAGCTCATATGCATGATGCATGGGGCAGATTGCATGCATGTTACTATGAGCAACAACTGACATATACCTAATCTACCACTGTCTTTATGTATAGCCAGGATAGGCACTGTAGCAAAAGTAGCAAATTGGCAATTGTACTAAGTGTAGCCAGGCTTGCTACCAGGCATCAGATCAGGCATATTTTATATGAAAGTGTCATGATACTTCTCCATAGCCCAGTCCCAAGGTGGAGAAAGAACCCAAGTCCTCAAGCTCTCAAGCCCAGAATTCTAGCCTGGTGGTACATGTGTTTGATGGAGATTACGAGTTTGTGTTATATGGTAGTGAGGTAAGATTCAGCCTATAGTGGTCTTGCCGGGGTACCTGGAAAGTGCAGGTGTGGGGAAAAGCTTTAACCTTCAGTCTGCTGAGGTAGCTGTTTGATATCAAAATTGTATTGGTCATGGGGTTAGGCAGCAGGGAGAAGGTCAATGCATATTTGCATAGGTGAAAGCAGCAGAGGATTTACTATGAGAAGGCAAAACATCTTCAAATGGGGAATCGCAAAAGGTTGAAACAAGGTCCACAAAACTGGCCACTTTTTAGATTTGTACACTGCAAAACATTTGGTATTAATAACTATTGTACTTCAGCTGTATAGACACTGTTGATTTCTGTACACATACAGCTTTTAAAAGATGGTGCTAAATTGCAGGGTCAGTTTTTATGGCTTGAACCATTTTCCAACGTATCTGCTTTGCGAAAGTCTGAATTTTCCATGGCTCATTGTTACAGACTGTATGGCTATCACAACACACTTCTTCATAACAAAGTTGTGGTTGTTTAAAGTTAAAAACTTTTGATCCAACACCAAAAATTCTCCCACCTAGAGCTTTCGACCAGTTACTGTGGTCTTCCTCAGTAGACTGACCCAGTGAAGCTTGTCACGTGGCTTCTTTGAAGTGTGATGTCAACACTGGGTCAAAGGTATCTGGTAGACGATGTCGGCCCCCGTCGCGGTTCAATGAAGGGTGATGGGCCCTAATGTATATGGCTTCCTTCACCCCTCTCAAGAAATAGTAAAAAGCTCTAGGTGATAGAATTTTTGGTGTTGGATCAAAAGTTTTAACTTTAAACATGTAACTACCAACACAGATGAACTTTCATGAAAGTTTTGGTTGTTTTACATCAGCGTGATTTTTGTTTCCCCTTGCAGCAGGAGGCATCAGGACATAACCACTCCACCTCACTGCCATCCATCGACAAGGAAAACGATGAAAACATCCCTCCTAAGAAAAGTGAGTACAATAGGAAAAAAGGAAAAAGGAAAGGTCTCCCGTGCCCTTATGCAGAGCGTAGGGTGGTGCCCATGTCCATTTCTGTAGCCCTTGGGTGACACACAGTTGTGCAATGCACTACAGCAGGGGGCTGGTCCGCTGGTAGTGCTGTGTGTTTGACCTTCCCACACCCTTTCTCATATGTGCTGAGTGCCAAGCAGAGAAAGAAGTGTGTACCATTTTTAAAGTCTTTGGTATGACCCGGCCGGGTTTGAACTCACGACCTCCCGGTTACAAAGCGAGCACTCTACCAATTGATCTATTGGACCAGAACATTTTACAATCATAGGAATAAATGGAAATGGACAAATTAACAAACTACCAGTTTAAATTTGGAATGTACATTAAACTTTGACATACTATGTAGTACCATATTTCGGTTCCAGGTTGTGTTTTTATGTTGCAACATGCAAATTCCCAATTTACAAACTTGATGGTACAAAAAAATGTGTACACTTGTTGTGAACATGCAAAAACTGTCATTTTCCTGTGTGGAATTTGGCCTTGTTTCATGCACATCAAGAACATTGTGTTCAGAATGCAAGCCCTCATTAATGTACAATCAGAACAAGTCATACAGTCCAACATCAAAGCAAGTCAATTTACACACAGGAAAATTTGACATAAGCTTGCACGTGTAAGCACTTTTCATGCTATCGGGTTCTTGTCTGTTTGTAAATTGGGACAGATGAAGTAATGTGCCAACTCCTGTCTTTTTAAGAAATTGTTGTTGTTTGTATTTTTGTTGACAAGTTGTGTTGTCTCCACAGCTAAGAGCACAAGTCCTGCCTCCAGAAGAAGACACAGGGACCTCTCAAATTTCAACGACTATTCCGAGGCCGTCGGGAGAGAGGTGACAAAAACTTCCAAATTTTTTATATGATACAAAATTAACAAAATGTCTCGTAGCCATTACACACTCGGGAATGAAAGAGGAAGGTATTTTATAACAAAATTTTCTTTCCATAACTTTCTTTTTTGGGCTAGTAGATCATACTTTATTGAGGACCTGATTTACATGCAGGCAAAATCCTAACAGTATGAAAACTGTGTATGAACACGAGTATACAAAAACTGCATACATACTGTACATGTAGATTTTTCTAGGTGTACAAATCGGCCTGCTTTGACGTATGTCAAGATCGTACATTACCTCAATGGCTCATGTACGATCTTACACGTTCTTGATGTACAAAGCAGGCCAATTTACATGCAGGAAAATTGCAACCTACCCAATTTTCATACGTTTGTACGCAGATTTCGTACTGTGGGATTTTTGCCCACTTGTTAATCTGGTCAAGGTTTGTAAAATCACCACCTAACTGGCTGACATTTCAGTATCTAACCTCAGCTTCCTTCTTCAGGGCCTAACCCTTAACAACACAGACATCGTTGATTGACTTTGCATTAAATTTCATTCACAATTTAGGTGAAGATTTCTAGCCTCTCAAAGTCCAAAACACGTATCAATATCTCCCCCAAAACATACAAACAATAAATAATTATTATTATTAAGATTTAGATTTCTTTGAATCGATAGGGCATGCGCATTGTATGTTACAGCTGCTATAAGGTAATACATGTAGGAATTCTGCAATACAAGTTTACTACATGTACATTTTTGTACACTCTTAGTTGGTTCTGGGTATCAAAAGCCAGCTGTGTTAAAAGATGAGTGAATGGCTCCACCATTTTGCATGAGTTCTGCTGTTATGCAGCTAGTCTATTAGTACCAGCTGCCAGCAGTAGTTGCAATGTTACAGTCATATTAGAATGATGTACTGTAAAGGCTTGTAGTACATGCGCTTCGGTGACTCTATTTTCTCTGTCTTCTCTGTGCACCCTCCCTCCCCCCTGGCCTGTCCCTCCCCCCTGCCTGTCTGTAACCCCCTCTCCTCTGAGTGTCTTTTCCGTTTGCACGGCAATCGTTAATTTCTGTTTCCTAATGGTTTGAAAAAAACATACCGTAACGACTTGTTTCATGTATGTGTTTTTCATGTGTTGTGGTGACATGCGAAACATTTCTGATCACGAAACGTTGTTTCCAGTCGTCCAAGTGTTCCCTAGTCTGCCCCCTGCCCTTCTCCTACTCCACTCTGTCCCTAGGTAGTGCCGCCTATCAGAGAATTGACCAGGTCAGTCGGTGACCTATGACCTTTAAACTTTGTGCTTGGCAAGCCATGGGTCAGGTCAGTTGGTGACCTGTGACCTTTTTTTGAGTTTTGAGCTTGCAGACTCTACTTCTGATTTCTTTTCTCCAGGAAAATGTGCCAAATTTGCCAAGAGCAAGTCGGCTAAAGACTGCTCCACGTACTTGAACTTGAAGCATGGTTTCCTGGCATAGAAAAATTTTGTGAACAGTCTCCATTTTTCCATTGCATGTTCATGGTTGTATATCAAAGAGATATACAAGGCTTAGCTATAGAAGGTAGAGAGTGTTGTAGTGTTGTTGGCATGTGATTGTGATGTGGTTGTGTGTCACGCTGCATGCCGTGGTGGAACGTTGCAGGACTGTTGTTGTGTCCGTGATGAGTCTTGTACCAGTTGTACTGACCCCAGCCTGATCTGCAGACTCTTGGAACAGAAACCCTTAAAGCTTCTGAGATTCAAGCCCAGGCATCCATCCTACCCTACTTACTTTGCTCCTCTCAATTGCTTTCCAACAGAACAGTCTGGCTCCTTTCCTCATTCAAACATACTTTTCAAGACATCCAATGCAATTTCAGGGCGGCAAGACTGGATTTTCAAAGTCAATTTTCTGGTCATTCTTTTAAAATGTAGTTTGCTAAGTTTCATTGACCCTAATAGTATAATAGAATACTGAAACATGTATCTGTGTGGCAAAAGTTTGATGTAACTGATGGAAAACAGTTACTTGTTTGGTATTGTAGGCTTGTACAAGCTATCTATTTTGTGTGTTCCCAGGACAGTGTTTCAAGTTTAAAATGATTGAAAATACACTGAAGAAATGGCAGTAAAAATTGTCAAAAATTAGACAGATTCTCCTATCCTGAATATTTCTTGTTTTGCCTCCTTGAAATTACATTGGATGACTTCAAGTCAATAATGATTTTGGGTGTCACAAATTTCTCGGAAGCAGTGTACCAGCAATCAAACCTCTGAATGACTGTTGGAACATCCCATTACAAAGGATTGTGTGTCTCGGAACCAGCCAGAACTCTTGCTTTACCGATATTCTAGGCAGCTGCCAGTTGATCCTCAATTAGGCCATGTTGATTTGATTATATGGATGACATCCGCGCGCGCATGAATTTTCGGCCGTTTCCAAAAAAAAAGAAGTTTTCAACCATACTGTAAATCGTACAAAACGGTTGCAAAATGAGCAAAAATATGCCGTAAGTTACAAAAAATAAAAAAATAAAAACTATACCAATGTCGTAGAATGCCAAAATCAAACGAAAAAAGACGAAATTGTAAAGAAATGAACTTAAAGACTAGATTATTCGCCAAACCATATTCTGTGCCATTTGTTAAACCTTCAAAACCATGTAGATTTCATAATGAAAACAACTTTTTTTTTTGCAAAACTTTTTTTTTATTCGCACGCGCGCATCAGTTTTGGGGTTCCCGGAGGATGTCATCCATATAATCAAATCAACATGGCCTTAACAGGTGCCAGACTGTTATCAACATTACCTGTACTTAGAGCTGTGTACCGGTACGCAGTACCGATACTGTACCGGAAAAATTGATTAGGTACAGGTCCAAAATACCTACTCCCTCTGTACCGGTACTGTACCTAAACAATTTTACACCAATTTTATGCCTATTTGTGACCTCAAATGTGTATAAAGGTGGTTAACAATGGGTCCCTGTGTAAGGACAGCGTGTTCATGAAAACAAAACACTTAGTTTTGCCTATATTTTATCTGAGCATTCGCCATAAACAAAGAATAAACCTTAACTATCAAGTTTATTTATGTTTTTTTTGTTATTGAAGGAGTTCAGAAGACCATATAAATTGGTCGAATTGTTCAGGTACAGGTTCAGGTCCGGACCTGTACCTAAACCTGTGTACCTGTACCTGTACCTGTACCTAAAATTTGTTTAGGTACACAGCTCTACCTGTACTATATAAAAACTGGATTGAAAAACGTTGATGCTTTTCAAAAAGTCGACCGCACAAATCTCGGTGTCTGTTTCCAAAGTCTGACTGATCAGGCGTCGCTCTCTCCTAAAGCACACAAACACCCACACGTTGTAGTAAACTCTCCTGTGGTCCCTCTCTCTCTCTC